AAACAGTACAGTCACTTTGGAAAACATTTTGGCACAAAATTTATACAGTTAAATGTATCTTTACCTGGGCCGGCAGGTGGCATGGCAGTTGGAGGTGCTGGACTCCCACATGGCCATCCACAGTTTGAGTCCTGGACCTGGTGGCTTGCTTTCTTGCTCCCCTCCCCACCCCTCTAACTCTCTCTGGTCAAGTTAAAAAAATGATAATGATAAAATAATTCTTTAAAATAAAAAAAGTACCCTTACCATATATAATCCAGGAAATCCCCACAGTCCACTAAACATATGTCCATACAAAAATCTATACCTTAATGTACAGAGCAGCTTCGTTCATAATTGCCCACACTGGAGAAGAGCCAAATATCCATCAACAGAAAAATAAGTCGGCTGTGGAACACCTACAATGGAATACCTCTCAGCAATACAAAGAAATGAACTAAACGACTGGTAGAAAAGAGTCTGGAGTTGAGTTGGTAATAAATACTCAAAACATGAAGCAAATACACGACAAAAATTCTAATGAATGGGCTGGCTCAATGGTTAAGGGAGCTGGATCCCACATATCTGACAAAAGTTTGAACAATGCCATGCACATGTGTGTGTACGCCAAATCCTGATGGGATGGAGAAATGGAGAAAAAGGGATTCTGGCATGATTGTACACCTTTGAAGGATACTCGCTCGCGCGCTCACTCTCTCTCTGGTAAATGTACAAACTCTCACAATGAAAAAAAATCCAACGAAAATAATTTATATAGGAAAGGGCCAGCAGGGGGCATGGTGGTTAAGGGCGCTGGACTCCCACATGGCCGACCACGGTTCAAATCCTGAACCTGGCGGCTTCCTCTCTCACTTTCCTTCTCTCTCTCTCTTGTTCTATCCCTCTCTGGTCAAATTAAAATTTAAAAAAAAAAGAATGAATAAAGTTAAATAAAATAATTTTTAAAAAATTCTATATAGGAAAGTGGAAGCATTTGTGAGGTATTATCAAGGAATAGTTATCTAACTAAAATTCCAATATTATAATGATACCTGGAAGAAGCAGCAGACTGTGCAATGGTTACATTGCTGGACTCCAACATGGCTGATCACAGTTTGAGTCCTGGACCTGGTGGCTTGAAACTCATGCCGGGTGCATGAGCGTGCATACCCAAAATCCCAAAGAAAAATGGAGAAGGGATTGAGGCGTGGCCATCCCCCGGGGGGTGATTTCTCACTTTCTGTCTCGCTGGCGAACAAGCCCTAAAGCAAAAAAAAAAAAAAAAAAAATCTAAAACATGACGTGGTGGTTAAAGGTGCTAGATTCCCACATAGTCAACTGTGGTTTGAGTCCCAGACCTAGTGTCTTGCTTTTTTCCACTTTCTCTTTCTCTCTATCTGTCTGGTCAAATTAAGAAATAATAACAAATGGAATTAATAAATATTTTTTTAAAGTAATAAGAATAATGAGACATGGAGTATGGAAAAGCATACAGGTGTGTTATGTGTGTGTGAGGGGAAAGATGGAGGAGACAGTCAAAATCAATACCAAAAACTGAGAATTCAAGAAGTGAAAGCAAGTGTGTTATTTAGTGAACAAGGAGGTACAGACCATGTGTTTCAAGAGAAAAAGTAGGTGCCTCTGGAGTGGAAAAAACTTGGGAACCACTTTTTTGACTTTCTAAAGTACGTGCATATATAACTTTTTTTTACTGACTATAAAAAAAAGATCCTGGGACCAGCCAATGGCATAATGATTGCATCGCTGGACTCCCGCATACTGGATAAAGGTTCGAGTCCTGGACTCAGTGGCTTAAACTCATGCTGGGCACGTGTGCACATGTACCCAAGATCCGAGAAGAGAATGGAAGAGAATGAATTGAGGCATGGGCATGTCCCCTGGAGAGCTCACATGCTCTATAGCAAAAACCTCTTCAAAAAAAAAAAAAAAAAAAGAAAGATCCTCAGGATGGGCAGGTGGCACAATGGTTAAGGGCGTTGGACCTCTGGACTTCCACATGGCCAAGCATGGGTTGAGTCCTGGACCTGGGGGCTTGCTTGCGCTCGCGCTCGCTCGCTCTCTCTTTCTCTCCCCACTCTGGTCAAATTGGAATAAATAAATAAAGCTAAAATAAAAATGTAATTCTAAAAAAAAATATTCCTTTTTACCAAGGAATTCATAGAAATGAATACTAACAGAAGTAGGTTCAAAGCCCTACCAGATCGGGGGGCGGGCCCCCCCCCAGCGCAGCCGCGTGCCGGGAACGGCCTGGCCGGGGGGCGCGCCTCGCGGCCGGGGGGCCTCCCTGCCCCTCCCTGCCTCTCTGGCCCGGGATGGCCCGGAGGCTGAAAACAAGGTTGAAGAACTTGCAACTTAAGAAGATGATAGTTACCAGCCCTGCATTACCTCAGGGGAAAACAAGAACTACTCTGCCATTTTTAAGGAAGCCAGATACCCAAGGACAACTCACACTGCAGACCCCCACAACACCATTCCTGGTAACTACAAGATGACTGCTGTGCCGCATCAGCTGATAATCATCCCTGTGTACCAGAACTGCTTTCCTGAAACTGCATTCCTTGGAGACTCACCTACACTTGTGGATCTACCGGAGACCCTTCCTTAATCCAACCCTGAGTGGAGTTTATGCTCCCTATTACCAAAAACTTTATGAGCTGATGGTTGGAACTTGTGGCCTCTCTCCCTTTACTTGTATGTATCACTTTTTCAGTAACTCTTCTGGAAGACAACTGTATATAGCAGGGATATTGTAATGGGAGAGTGAGACAAGGCAGTCGAATACCAGACAAAGGTAGCTTGAGAAACATGCCAGCAGTGTGTGCTCACGTTCTCAAAATCCCAAAAGGAGGGAGAGAGAGAGGAGAAGGGATTGTAGTGTGACCCTTCCCCTTGGGAGGTGCTTTCTCCTATCTCACTCTGTCTCCCTGTCTCTCTCTGGCAAATGCATATGCCCTTTTGCACAAACAAACAAACAAAAAAATCCTTCTTAGGAATAGTCTCCTTTTTATGATGTGCTTCCTTTTTGGGATTAGTCTTCATCTATTCATATGAATCAGACAGATACAGATTAATCACTAAAACTTCATTCTTCATTTCTTTCTTTTCATTATTATTTCAGTACCGCAAGTCTGACTTTGATTTCTCTTCAGTAAACTAAACAGAAAATTCTGCCTTCCTAGAGCTTGAAATCTAGAAGAGGTAGTTATGCTTAATTAAAGCACATAATTGATGTCAAAAGGAGGAAAAAATAAAGCCGGTTCAGGGAGTTAGGAAGTGATGAGAGGAGCAGCTATTTTATTGGTTAGTTATGGGAAGTTTGTTTGAGAAAGTGACATTTTAATAAAGACCTGAAAGATAGTCACATGACTGTCAGGGTAAAGGTGTTTAAGATTGAACAAAAAACATGAAGCCCTGAAATAAGGCTATGTCTGGCTTCTAACTGGTTCAAGGAATTGCAGAGGGGCCACTACGGCTCGAATAGAGTGAGCAAAAGGCAGGGAAGCAGGAAT